GGCGTAATCCGTTTTTACCCAAATGAAGGGGAAACTGTTCATGACAAACTATTAAAGATACTCTCCCACTTTAAGTTGGACTCCATGCTGGGCCTCCATCAGCTTTAAGATAGTAACGATACACCCATTATTCAGTTCAGCANTTGAATTGTAGACAGTGGAAGCAATGAATCACCGTAAGAGCCGCGAGCAATTGCATGACGTTTAGCAATTTTGACGTTGAATAATAGCTGAGATAAAGTATAAACTGAACCCTTCCAGCCCTTATCAACCACTCCTTATCAGCTCTCCTATCACTAGGCAAAAGTTCGTCTTCAACTCAATTTTACTTTACTGCCTTTACACCATCATCATCTGCCACATCGTTCGTTGTGTTCGAGAACTTCTCGAGGGGGGCGTGGCTTCCCACCATTCCATTCTGCTCAATCACCTATCCATTCCCAATGCATAAGCGTCATCTGCTTCTCACCTGTCTCTCCAGTGGGCGGCATGCTGCTGAAAGAAAATCATTTATGATATGTAAACAAGTTGATACAGTAAACAAATGTGCGAAGACATGAACAAAAATGATTCTCAGTTCGAGAAGGAGTTATGTGGGAAATGGAGAGTGTGGGAAACAAGGAGTGAAGTTTGTCATCGAGGAAGATAACTTTGAGGGAAATTTCTAGCAAAGGAGCAGTTTTATAGGTAAAGGATGAGGCAGAAGAAACCCCCCAGGGAGCTGAACAATCGGCGAACGATCCCTATTGATGAAAATATGATCACATGGTTCATTGAAACTAATCAAGGGAGAATAACACCAGTGAAGCCAACTTCAGCCAAGACCGATCATGAAATGAAAGCAGGAATCAATTCCGTCTAAAGGGATTCAACGTGGTGGAAATGTAAACAGTTTCTGATGGGGCAAATGCTGAAATTTGCTTGCTGCGAAAATGGCCATGCACCTCTCGGCCATCATTGTAACAACACGGGTTGTAATAGGAGGGACGGAGGGAATGGAGCGCAGCAGCTTGGTTGCAGAAAAAAATCTGAACGTGCATCGCAGTCAATTGCGGTGCGGTGGTGTAACACAACAGACAGAGCCTATCGCCTATCCTCGAGATTCCGTGAGGCAGTGGAAGCAATGAAGCGATTGAGTCAGATTGAATGCAGGCGCTTTCCCCTCCCTGCGGACAACGGTTCATGTAAGACTGAAAGACTATGAACAAACGTTTGATTGGACTTGGGGTTACAGCAGTAGGGACTGCCCGATGCACCTAGGCCCACAGAGCAGTGAGAGGATGTGATGGGAACAAGTTGATGACTGATTTTTGAATTTCCGAAAATGTTAGGCAACGAGAGTGCAGAGCGCAATGCGAAGCAGTTGGCACCTGGAAAAATCTGGATGCCATAGAAGGGTATCGGAACTATCGCGCAAAGAGTATGTTGCCGTTAAATCCCGATGGTGCACTGGTATGGTAACAAGCCGTCTATGAAGTGAAGGCAATAGCAGAGAGTACGAGAAAATGTCATAAACTAATGGAAATGAGCACATAAAGTCTTTGGATTAGAAGTGAAATGGAATGCACAGATGTGGCATAGTCAAAGTGGAATCTGATGAATAACCGATTTTAATATAGGCAGCCAGCGTATGGGACGTCTCATGGACGTTCCGGCCAGGCGAGTGCCGAATGCAAGAGTGGCGGTGGTTGATATCTTGACGATGGTATAAGGCTGCTGAGTTAAAGCGGAGGCAACGACCGCCGCCGTCAGCGGGGGCATTACAACCTCCCCTACGGCGATACCCCACACAGTTGTCTAAGAATAGCGGCGCCCCCACACACACGCACACACACGCTCACTCCCTCCGGCACTCATGGATTGTTACTTTTCGTGAAATCAAAGAATTTCGCAGAAATGACCCCAAATAAATGATAGTGTGATCGGTGTGAACTTGCTCAGGTTTGAGACAATTTCTTCGAAAAGGTGCTGTGTAAGAGTTCGATGCAGTAAATGAATAATAAACCTAATTTATGTACAGTCATAGTATTTCCTGATGGCTCCTACCAAATTTTCATCTTTGAGCTTGCAGTAGCTC